TAGATCAACTTTTCGATTCGAGTTTGTCATGAGAACAATCCAGGCCATTGTCTCATCTACAGCCTGAGGCGTCTACCGAACCAGACTCTATATTCTTGGAGGTCAAACAGTACCTCTCAGTGCTTCTCCTCTAAGGTGTGCCACACCCTACTACATGTCTTCGCCTCATTTTTGCGTCTATGTTTGTATGTGTATCTTGGACCCTCACAAAGGCAGGAGTGAGCTCATCCAGGGAAAGTATCCAAAGGCTTTTTTGTTGCGTCCTACTCTTCTGGACTGTAAGTGCGCCAGAGATGCAAAAGCGACTTTAAATCAACTTCATCTATCCTTCGTTCATGAGTAATAATGGAAATTTTATAGATATTTTAATATTTGCTGGAAAATCGGACCATAAATTGACCGATTAATTAACAATACTCGAAGTTATATTTCACCACTAACATTAATATAATTTGCTTCAAATTTTTATCTTTTTACAAATATTTATCCGGTATAGAGCAAATTGCGCATGTTCATATGCTTCAAGTCTGAGAGCATTGGGTCAAAACTGGGTAAATAATTTTAAAGAGAATCGAATTAAATATATTTTTATTTTAACGAAAGTGGTGGTTCGTTCATGTGGATAATTTACACCTACAATATTTTTTTCCTAGAAGCCTTAACCGCATTTTCGTGCTCATTTTGATAAAAAGCTTTTCATTCTATTGAATTTCTTGTAGGACTCTTATCAAAATGAATATACTAAACCAGATGCGAAGAAACGCATTGGAGGAAGTAGAAAAGCGTATGTACATTTTTTAAACAATAGTTTATGAATTCTCTTATCCGAATGATGCAGATCACTTAATAATATATCAAATAATTTAAAAAGTAATGAAAGAACAGTCAATTTTTCGCCTAAAAGGAGAGTAGTTAATTACAACTAATGATAGATGTAAAGAGAAATGTTGAGTAAAACTTGAACGAATTTGAATAAACGATTGTATGCAAAATTAGGCTAATGGTCATGGAAGAATAGGTCATAAGAAAGACTTAATTTATCACAAAAGAGAATGATACATAAAGTGATGAATTCGCATTTAAATGCAATGCAACCCCTTGATTCATCTAAAATGTATAAGAACGTATGCATAACAGCACAGCAGTTAAATTTTAACTATGTATAAACTTTGATTGGTTACATTTATTTTTTGGAAGGAGCATACTGACTCTATCATAACCCAGGGCTACAGAATGTAGTTGGAAGCGAAACTTCCCAGGTACAGACCGGAAAGATGGGATGAGAGTCATTGTCGAGCCTCCCTTAAGTGCCCGGCTCAGGTCACATGAATAGACTTGGCTGAAATACCAAATGAGGGCACAAAAGTGGCCTGAAAAGCAGGATTGTCCCGGAAACAAGGATGCCATTCTCAATACTTTTGAGCAGTTGCGTGCACCAATACGCCCCCAACCGATGAGTTCGATAGCGGCTATGCACGACATTGTTGACAGGAAGCTGTCATCATCGTAGTCAAGTTTGCTCACAGCAGCCAATGGGCAAATGCTGAACCTGTCCCACTGGATGGGAGTTATGACGCGATGAAGACTAATCTCTAAGGCTTCCGGTCTCGCCATTATCGCCGAATGCGAGAGTTATAGAGCCACAGTCTATGCATCGGGCATCATTGAAATGTCGTAGGTTGGAGGCCAAGCAACTAAGTTCTGACTGTGTTTAGTCATGTATGCGAAGAAAAGTTGGGTTTCGAGGAATCTCTTGTTTCATAATTGTTGAGATTACTTCCATTTCAAGTTAAAGTGATTGGTGAAGAGATTAGAAGGTCGGTTCCACCAAAAGACGACGGCGGATTCCTCTTGACCAGCTGTCGATTGGCTTTACTGGAACATTCTTGTTGACGCTGTTGCCGAGGCAATCTCCTTCGATTTCGGTGAAAAGGTGCTTTCGTGCGTCATATGACAAATATCATCTTCACAACCAAATTCATGCTAGCGAGTCAAGAAAGCAGAGCATAGTTATTGGATAGAATATTTTCGATCAGTAATTTTATTTTCGAATCATAAATTATTTTAGTCTAAGTTTTTTGATGTCTTGGACAATCAGTATTGTGTGTTAGTCAGTCTAATTCAGGCAGCTATTAGACCATCTGAGAACATTTGTTGTCCCATCATAGGACTGGTTTTTTAGGTCTGGCCCCAAAAAGGAGGGATCGAGAGGCCGGCATTCAAAAATATGCTGATTTTGCCGGAATCTAAATCACTTGTATGAAGTAATGCTTCATAAAGGGTTTGTGTCAGTATGTGAGTGACAATTATTCAGTAAAAAATAGCCGAAAATAAAACGACATCTCCTCTCAAAGCCTTAGGAAATAAGCATCGAACAGCTTGAATAGATTTGTCCAGACTCGTCTTGATGTCGCCAACTCATGGCAGACAAGGGCTTCTTTGATTGGCTAGAAAACTTTGGTATGCGTTTTGTCAAGGCATATTTCCCCTTTCTCTACTGGCTCACATTTTCCTACATCTGCAAAGCACCGGACTACAAAAGAACAGAGCATCAGACTCATACATGAGGTCTTATTTCTATTTGATGCGCCCTAGATCTAAACACCAAATGGATTAGGGAATGCTTTTGTTCTCCCAATTTGTGGGCTTCATAAAGTCGCTCGGATCATGAGAATACAGCTTTTTAACCTGTAGGCTGTAGTCATACAAGCTGGACCTGCTTACTTATTCTCAAACTCCTCAGATTCGACAGACGCAATATTGTATCCCACACCCGCCCGTAGCACGCATGTACTGTTGAGTAAATCATCTCATTTTGTAGATAGAATTAAAAGTTGCTATAGAATTTTTATAACATACATCCGACATAAGAATCCAGAAAATTTCTGAAATCTTCCCTTGTGCAAACTTTTATAACGAAGATTTTAAAAATAATTAGTGCTTTTAAAAATATACTCAGAAGGCTTTAGCAGCAGAATTGGAAACTTCCACTCTGTGCCCACATTCACAATATGATTTATTTGTCTGTAAATTCTATCTTCGCCACCTTGACATGCGTTCTGAAGGTATCAATGGTAAAACTTTTGAATAGATTTCTCTGCTCATCTCCACCGAGTAATTCCTAAACTAGTAACGGTTTAATCAGCAAGAAGTCATTGTCTTACCGCAAAAGAAACAACATCTTGCTCATCCGCCTTCATCAAAAACACACAAACCAACTAATTTTGTACATTTTCTTATATATATATATAACGTTAAAACCGAGTTTACATAGAGTTTCCTCTGTTCAATATGTGTCAGTACAGATCCCAAGGTATTGATCATTGAAATACCGGTCCTTCACCACCTTGATCGGAATAGGGTGAATGCAATTATGATATATCAAAAGGATTGTTTCCCATTATTGTTCTTGGATTAATCTTCATATCTAGTTGCCTGCAACTTGAGGTGTATGATAAATATTATCATCTTTTTTACACCAATGTATGATACATAGAATTTGTGAACGCTTAATACCAAAATCTTATGCTTTCTATGTGCAATGCTTCCTTTTGTGTCGAAGAGCTCTACATTTGTCTAAAAATGCGTCTAGACTAAGGTGAGCACGCCTCAAGCTGTGTATATTACTAATGTGTTCATGTTTCCTCCCAAGAAAACGACTTCAACTACAACGAGAATTCATATATTCATTAGTTATTTAGGCTAAAGACCCAATAAGTATCTGACTAGATTTGCTAAAAATATTGTTATGCCAACTTCAGAACTTACATTGCTCCTTTTGCTATTAATAGTCAATGTGTTCATATTTTTCTCATTAATCTCCTAGAACACGCTTGCCAACGTAATTGGAATACATCGCATGACTTCCTCTTGCGTCAATTATTTTTCCAACCTGCCTCAATTATAGTATTAAAGCAGAAGATTTAAGTACATTCCAGTTTACTATAAAGCTAACTGAAGTCTTATAATGAAGGTGGGATCAATGGGTCGTTTGTTTACATAAGGTTTTGGAAAAACGTGATACAATTAAACT